GCCTCCCAAAGTGCTGGGATTACAGGTGTGAGCCACCGTGCTCAGCCTAAAAAATAAGATTTTTTAAAAACATTAATGAGCCGGGCGCGGTGGCTCAAGCCTGTAATCCCAGCACTTTGGGAGGCTGAGGCGGGTGGATCACGAGGTCAAGAGATCGAGACCACCCTGGTCAACATGGTGAAACCCCATCTCTACTAAAAATACAAAACATTAGCTGGGCATGGTGGCGCGTGCCTGTAATCCCAGCTACTCAGGAGGTTGAGGCAGGAGAATTGCCTGAACCCAGGAGGCGGAGGTTGCGGTGAGCCGAGATCGCGCCATTGCACTCCAGCCTGGGTAACAAGAGTGAAACTCCGTCTCAAAAAAAAAAACCAAAAAACATTAATGACCAGCATTTCCTGAAAACTTAAGTTTGTCAGGCACAGTTCTATTCACTTTACATGAATTAACTCGATCCTAAAAATCCTGAGATAGGTAGGTACTATTATTGTCTATTTCAAAGACAGAAAAGAAAGTATTTTATCTAACCTAGTAAATGAAGGAGTCAGCCAGGTGCGGTGGCTCACATCTGTAATCTCAGCACTTTGGGAGGCCGAGATGGGCAGATCACTTGAGGTCAGCAGTTCAATACCAGCCTGACCAACATAGTGAAACCCCATCTCAATAAAAAATAAAAAAGTAAATGGAGGAGTCAGGATTTGAACCCAGGCAACACTGACTCCAGAGACTACATTCTTAACCACTTCCCAATGAAATGTAACTAGGACACTCCTGAGCATATATTTTAATGGCTTTGAAGTCAACTGGACTTAAATTTTAATACAGGTTCAGCCACTTATTAGGTATATTATTTGGGGCAAACTTAATATCTTATGTCTTAGATTCTTCATGTATAGAATGGGGATAAATAAACGGGACAATGCTGTAAAACCATTTAGTAAGTGGCTGATAATGTATACTAGTTATTAAGCCCTTACTATTACTATTTTATTTCTACTACTTTCATGAATATACAAAAGCAGTAAATCCTATGATGTCTAATTTGGAGACTCCAAGCTAAAACATCAAAAGACCCTCTTTCTTCATCCATAATTCTTTCCTTCCTACTGTTCCAGAAATATATGTACTATTCCAATAATCGCATTTTCCGTAAGAAGTTAAAAAATATCACATTGGATGAGGTTAGTAGTTAGATGAATCTTAAACTCTTTGTTCATTTGTTTTTTAATTTTTAAAATAATACAGACAGGGTCTCCCCATGTTGCCCAGGCTGGTCTGGAACTTCTGTGCTAAAGAAATCCTCCCTGCTCAACCTCCTGAAGTGCTGGGATTACAGGTGTGAGCCACCATGCCCAGCCATCAGTTCTTAAATTCAATCACAGAGATACCTAGTAAGTTTGGTAAAGACAATAGTTACACTCTTGATGACAACTTCCAAAGATTCTGCGCATCGCTCAAGCATTTAACATATATATGTATATATATATTTTTTTTAAGAGATGGGGTTTCACTATGTTGCCCAGGCTGGAGTGCAATGGCTATTCACAGGCGCAATCCCACTACTGATCAGCACGGGAGTTTCGACCTGCTCCGTTTCCAACCTGGGCCGGTTCACCACTCCTTAGGAACCTGGTAGTCTCCCGCTCCCAGGAGGTCACCATACTGATGCCAAACTTAGTGGGGACACCCAATCCGCATAGTGCACTACAGCCCAGAACTCCTGGACTCAAGTGATCCTCCACCCTCAGCCTCCCGAGTAGGTGGGACTACAGGCACACACCACCGCGCCCGGCGCATTTAACGTATTTTTTAAAATCACCAAAGTAGTTATCTAAACCTTTATTTAATCTTTTTAAAAATACTGAGTTCAGGCCAGGCTCAGTGGCTCACACCTGTAATCCCAGCACTTTTGGAGGCAGAGGCGGGCAGATCACCTCAGGTCAGGAGTTCGAGAACAGCCTGGCCAACATAGTAAAACCTCGTAATACAAAAAATTAGCCAAGCATGGTTGTGGGCACCTGTAATCCCAGCTATTCAGGAGGCTGAGGCAGGAGAATCACTTGAAATTGGGAGATAAAGGTTTCGGTGAGCCGAAATCACACCATTGCACTCCAGCCTGGGCAACAAAAGCAAAACTACCCCTCAAAATCAAAAAACAACAAAAAAAAAACCAAAAAACAAAAAAACTGAGTTCACAACATCTCTTGGGTTTTACAAGATACCTATCTCTTGCTCTTATTTGTCCCTTCACTACTTATTTCAAGCTTCAAAGAGTTCTTTATTAGTAGTGCACCCACTTTTTATGATTTATATGGTTAGATCATATCCTCCTTCAATCTCCATTTTTCCAGATAATATTGTTTTTGTAGTCATATTAAAGTCTCTCCATTTTCTCCATCTACTTACAATTTCTTTGGACCTTTTCCATTTTTGAAGCATTTTTCCTGAGATAATCTGATGGCAAGAACACTGGGCTAAGAGCCAGAAGTCTTCACTCTGCAGTCTCATCTCTCAGATACTTTATCTGAGAGGATCACACTTGATAAATTTGTAATAGGCTCCTTTATATCTCTAAGCCTTATATATCTAAGACTCCAGATCTTCCAACTAAAAATAATTTGGTATTCTAACAATTCCCCTCAATTTTTTACTCCACTTAGCCACAGAGGGGCAGGAAGATCAGATTAAAGCCCAGAGGAAGACACAACAATCAGGAAGCGAAAGGCTATGGAAGGAAAGACATGACATTTTATGAATCAACAGAAAAATATTCAATAAGAGAAATCAGACACCAAAGAGAGGGAAAAAGTCAGAAACACATGGCCTAATTCTAACCTCATCTCTACATATCTATTTGAAGGGAGAATAATACAAAAATGTATATACTATTGTCCTTATCAAAGTTATTAGGTATCTCTGTTACAGAATTTTTTGTTTTTGAGACAGTCTCTCTCTGTCGCCCAGGCTGGAGTGCAGTGGCTATCTCAGCTCACGGCAACCTCTGTCTCCAGGTTTCAAGTGATTCTCCTGTCTCAACCTCCTGAGTAGCTGGGATTACAGGTGCCCGCTACCACGCCCCACTAATTTTTGTATTTTTAGTAGAGATGGGGTTTCCCCAGGTTGGCCAGGCTGGTCTGGAACTCCTGAGCTCAGGTGATCCACCTGCCATGGCCTCCCAAAGTGTTGGGATTACAGGTGTGAGCCACTGTGCCCAGCTTCTGCTACAGAATTTAAGACTGACGTAACTACTAATCTCATCCATTATCTTTCTTCTTATGGAAAATGAGATTTTTGGAATAGTATGTGTGTTTCCAGAATAACAGGAACGAATTATGGATGAAAAAAGAGAACCTTTTGGCAGCAGTGGAGTTTATCCAGCCCTCATTTCTCCCTCAAAGGAGCAATGCAACTCTGTGCCAGATATGTATGTCTATATGGAAATGCTGTGGATAAAATGGCCCACTATAGTGCTTTGAGCAAAATAGGCATTACTCAGATATTTGGTGACTGAATTGTGTAGCTGAACTGAAGGCCCTCACAAATGCTACTGGTACTGCTACGTACTAGATAATATGACAGTCAAGGCCATAGGAATTATATGGCATTGGCTGCCCTGGTTCCATGGGGAGACGCAGTGAACTGGGCGGAGGAGATTTGGCCTAATGGCATTAAGCTCTGATGATACTGGAAGCAGCCCTCAAAAGGAAAAGATTACTGGGTTATCTCTAAACCACCAATATCTCTAAAGCAATATTGGAATATGTATGAAAATCATTTCCTACCCCGTGTCAGGAACAAAAAAAGCATTATCTTTTCTCATGTTGGCTTCTGGAGAGTCAGGGCTTCTTGTCCTATGACTGGTTGGTGGCAGGGGAGGAATAAATCGACAAAGGGTTAAGGTTGCTGGGCAGTTTTTAAAATTCGCAGCCCAGCCTAATGGTGGTGTTTCTCAACGTGTGGTCCCTGGATCATCAGTAACAGACCAAGAGTGCGAGCGCCTGCTTAAACCCCAGACTTAGGGACCCATCACAAATCTCCAGAATCAAATTTCTGGAAGAGGTGCTACAGTACTGCAACCTTATTACTAAGGAACAATCTTCTGTTTCAGAACTACGGCCTAGAAATTGGGGTTTCGGGTGGGGGCCTTGAAACTCTGGATTAATCACATCCGACAGACATTACTACAACTTTGTTTTGGAGACCTTAAAAAAAAATACCTCAACTTCTTGCACAGGGAACAGAACACAACTAAAGACTTTGGAATGTATCTTTATAAGCTGGTTAAACAGTTCCTTCACAGCCTTGTTTATCATGTTAGTTTGTTCACTAAATTCTTATTTAAAAATAAATCTGTTCAACCGAGGAATTTTCAGAAAGAATCACAAACTCCAAAATAGAATAGGTTTTCTCATAGTGCAGAACTGGGCTTGTAAACCTGAAGACACTACTATAAAAAGCAAAGTTTTATTTAAAAGCAAATTGCTGGTTAAGGCTCTCCCCAGCTCTTTTGCACTCAGAGCCACGGATGAAAGCTGGCAATTTGCGGGTGGGCAGGGAAGGAAGAGGAGGAGGCAGGGCTGAAAAGACAGACCAAAATGCACTCTGCTCCGGAGTTCAGGAGGAAGTCCCACCAACTACCTAATTTTTAATGGAGCCAATGAATTGCCAGAAAAACTGCGTCTGCAAATGTTTTGCCAGTCAACACTCCAGGTTCTCGCCATTCCTCTCGGGCGGGATGAACCACCCGAGGCCTGCAAATAGCAATCAAGTTACACTTAAGCTGTGCCCAGGGCAGTGCCCACCACCGCGGCGCAGCGTCACCTCCCTCCGCTGAATCACCAGACTCTGCCCTCCGCGCGGAAACAGGCGCCCGTCACGTCGCTGCCGACATGTTCCTCGCGCCCAGCTTAGCCCCGCGGCCTTTCGACCCGTGGGTCCGAACCGCCGCCGCGCCCGGAGGCGACGCCCCCTCGGCCACATAGAGAAGCCTCGGGCCACACCTGCCGCCACACTCGCCCTGCCGGGTCTTCGCGCCCGAAACCGTCCTGCGCCGCCACTTACTCGTCGCTCCCTGCCGCGCCGTCGCGCTCGGGGCCGGAATCCGCCTGGGAGGCGCGCGCAGGCCGCGCAGCCAGAAGCCGCCGCCGGGACCGGCTGTGCCGCAGCGGCGCGCGCCCCCCGCCCGGGCCAGCGCGGCCACGCGGCTGAGTCACCCGGCGCTTCAAGTTAAGAGTCCCCTCCGCGCGGGGCACGCCGGGAACTCCGTCCGGGGGACCCCGCCCGGGGCAGCCCTGTAAATGGGTGTCGCCTTTCCTCTGGTCCACTCTGCACCCGACCGCAGCGGGCGCACTTTTCTCAACTGCACATATCCTCTCAATTATTAAAGGTCGCAGACGGAAAAGTAGGTAGTTTTCGGAATTGTAGAATAAGCTCGCGCAGCGCCAGGACGGCTGATGCTTACCCCAAAATGTGGAACCCCGATCTCCCCATGCATGGAGCGGGGTTGGGAACAAAGTAGTAAAAATAATGGAGTCACTACCCTGGATATACATTCTGGCCAAAAGAAAGAGAAAAAAAACCCACATTTTCCTCAAATACTACCTACTATGACAAAGTTGAATTACAAATTTTAAATCAACCAGAAGCAAGTTACTGGGAAAACTGAACTGTGTCATGAGTAAAATATTTAAACATTTCAAAAAACACCTATGTATGGTCCATGTCCTATAAACCGAATGCTGGAAAACCCAAAAGGAAGTTCTCACTGTCATGGTTTCTAGTGGCTTTTGTACAGACTCTCTGTACAGTGGTTCACGCCGGTAATCCCAGCACTTTGGGAGGCCGAGGCGGGCAGATCACCTGAGGTCAGGCGTTCCAGACCAGCCTGGCCAACATGGTGAAACCCCATCTCTACTAAAAATAAAAAATTAGCCGGTGTGGTGATGTGTACCTGTAATCCCAGCTACTTGGGAGGCTGAGACAGGAGAACTGCTTGAACCCAGGAGGCGAAGGTTGCAGTGAGTTGAGATTGCGCCAATGCACTCCAGCCTGGGCAACAGAGTGAGACTCTGTCTCAAAAAAA